ATATGTTCTTCTTTATATATATACAAAGGCGCATATAAGTAAAGAGAAAAATCGCATAGAATTATAAAAAAAAAAGAAATACTGTGTTAATGTTGTACTAAATTATTATGACTTATAGTGTACTTTAAATCAAGAACTAAATTAGTTTGTATAAAATTAATAAGTACTAAGAATTCAAATAAAGGAATAAAATTTAAATTAATTATTCTTATACATGAGTTGAAAAAGAAAAACTTTGAATTGAAATATATCAATTATTCCGACCTTACTATTAAGCACATTTTTTTTTTTTTTTAATATTCTAAAACAAAACAATATGTAAGGTTACTTACAGTACGGGATACATAATTGCGATGGATAGCAAAAACAATGTTGTTGAAGTTGAATGAATTGGATTAACGAAGAATAACTGCATGGCTTAGCTTTTGAAATGATGAGTGAGTGAATGAAAACATCTCCTTCGATTGAAATAACTTCCTTGAAATAACTTCCTTGAAATGACATAGTGAATGAAATGATTTCCTTGAGTTGAAATAGTGAATGAAAATAATCTTCTTTTGAACGTAGCAAAAAAAAAGTAATAATAAAATAAACACTTCTTGTTTATTTGCCTTCTTGTTGTTGTTGATGATTAAAACGCTGGTAATGATTAGTGGCGATGACGGCCGGATCAGCTGGTCTTCTCCGGACAGTGATAAAATCACACAGTAGTCTGACGATAACGATGGTATTTCATAAATTTAAAAAAAAAATTTCTTGATAGAGCGCGTACCCACAGCGTATGGGTGTGGCTACTATATTCTAGAGTGCGCGTTATCCACGGTTTGGAATTTTTGATGAAAAATGTATACACTAGATGGCGTCAGAACCGGTTGTCGCACTTGTAAAATTTCTGACAGTTAACCAGAGGCGGATGCGTGTATATGGTGCTACCAGTTGGCGGCTTTGATTGACGAATACGATACAGCCAGAAACGCCGATTCAAGGAATGTGCGACGTTAGCACAAACCCGCCCTTGTGTCACTATCGGAATTACTTTTCGAAATATTGAAGTTTTGTATATTTTAAAAAAAAAAATAAACACGATATACACAAAAAGTAAAAATAAAAATAGTAATTAAATATTACTAGAACGCACTGGATTAATAAAATTTTTGTATAACGTACCTCGCGGACACGTGGGTATCGTGTCAACACTTACTGAAGAAACACGGAAAAAATGAAGTAGAATGTTGACTGTAGTTGATTCTCCAGTAGAAAATAAATGTTGATCACACCGCTGCCACCAAATGTTGTGACCGGGTTGGTACGGTAGACAAATGAAGAGAGAATGCGTTTGATAATTAGTTTATTATATTTAAAAAAAATATGTTTACACTTATTATTAACTTCTCGATTTTAATTAGTTGATAATTAATATAAAAGATTCAGTGAACAAGTTAACATAAAAGATTCAGTGAGCAAATTAACATAAAAGATTCAGTGAGCAAATTAACAAAAGATTCAGTGAGCAAATTAACAAAAGATTCAGTGGAGAGTCGTCCAGGTTCGACCCATGAACTCTATGACTCTTGAACGAGTACCTGACTCCTACTGGCGCGTCGCCTCAGGCGGCGGCGGCCGTAGGCCCAATGCATTGAAAAAGGCTGAGCAAGCATCGAATGTTCTAGAAGGACTAGATGCTTGCCTGGTAAATACTTTATACAAAACAAAAGAGGCTTCCGTTCCCATGATTATTATATATATACTATTAAATTACATAATTACAATTAGGCAGCAAAAAGCCAGTTCACAACATAGTGGAGTTCTAACCTTAGTTAGAATTTACCTTAGTAAAGAAAAACATACGATTTCCGTGAAAAATTTCTCGATTTTATATTTTACATTTTTAAATTTATATTTCTACAACTTTTTGAAAAATATATGGATCAATTTAATTTTTTTTTATAAATATTTTATATATATTCTTTTTATCTGACATACTGTTTTTTTAAATCAGACCATTTCCCTTCATACAAGGGGAGTCAAATTTTAAATATGCGTATAGAAAACGGAACTTTTTCAACTTAACTTTTGAATATGTCCCGGTAATACTGATAATTAAAGCTTATGTAATATTTCGATACGAAACTGATAAGGTATTAAATTTATTATGATGTGTTTTTTTTTGTGTGTCTGTTACGACGGTAACATATTACTACATAAATTGTTTCTAAAAAAAATGGTTATTAGTTTTACCTGAATTTAACAATGAATTTTTACAATTATAATCAAAATTTATACTATGCTCAATTTAGTAGATTTTTTTCAAAAATTTTTGTTTGATTAAAGTAAATCATTAAAATTCATTAAGAACTGAATGTTTTATTTGTACAATCTTTTTAAATATTAAATGTTACTTAGAAATGATTACTATGAGTTTTATTTAAGTGATCTATTACGATAAAAAAAAGAAAAATTTATTGAACTTTTGTGATAAAATTCTTTAAATAGTAATTATAAAATTTCCTGATTGCTTATCAATATTAACAATATAATTTGTTAAATTCTCATCAAATTTTTTATTTAATGATGACAATTTCAAACTTACAAATTGAGCTAAAAGTTATGGTAACAATTTTAACTTTTTTCCTATAAACTTTCACAAAAATCAATTTTAATGGACCAAAAAAATTTGTTGAAAATTATCATAATATTTTGCACTGATTATTTTTAATCTATTAAAAATTTTAAATCGGTTGTAATTTGACTAAATTCTTTTGTTTTATTTTTAATTATATGAATTTAAATTTTTTACTAATTTGCAATAATATCAAAAATTAAAAGTGATAGAAAGAAAACAGCGAGAAAAGTTTATTTATAAAAGTATATTTTTGATATATTCTGATTAGAGTTCTTTGAATACCAGTGTATTTATTCATAAGTAACAAAAAAAATTTTTATTTAGTATTGTATTAAGCGCTTAAAAATAATTTATATAAAAGCATAGAAATGTACAACTACTTTATTATTTTTATAATTTCTCCGTAATAATTATAATATTAAATTATTGAATATCAATGTTATACTAAATTTAATTACTATAATTAGTATTTATTTATATATTATATTTTTAAATAAAAGGATATATTTAAGAAAATAGAATTTTATGTTGTTTTTGTATTTATCCACCAATTTCTTATTAAACGCTATTCACAGATTTGCATGGAAGTGTTTCTTATGATTTTTATCACTGTCAGATATCATCTATACTTGTTCTAATTATGCCATGTCCATTTTGTGCTTCGACTCCACTGTTGTTTTGTGTTTTTTTATGATTGATTATATTATATTTAATTAAATTTCGGTGATAACGCTCTGTTTTAATTCTGTAATCCAGCAATTTTCTTCCTTTATTCGAATATTCTATCTATTTATTTAAAAAATATGAACTATTAAACCTCATAACCTTTATTTGCTTATTAAAATTATATACGTTGGTGCCAAAGGAGTTGAATTTACTCCAAAAAGAGCATCGAAAGGGTGTGCCCGAAGAAATATTTGGGAGTCATCTAACGACCCTACATTCATGAAACGCATCATAACTGGCGACGAGACATGGGTCTACGAGTATAACGTGCTAACTAGCCAGCAATCATCCGAATGGCGTGCTCCCCACGAACCAAACCAAAAAAAAGCATGCCAAAGTCGTTCAAAAATCAAGGTTATGCTCATTGTATTCTTTGATTACCGTGGTGTATTGTACTTCGAATACTTACCAAACGGTCAAACCATTAATAAGGAGTATTACATCGGCGTTATGAAGCGTTTGAGGGTTGCAGTGCGTCGTAAACGGCCGGATTTGTGAGCGGCCAAAAATTGGATTTTATACCACGACAACGTGCCAGTTCACAAAGCCAAGCTAGTGCAAGACTATATGATGAAACACGACGTTGTACAACTTCAACAAGCACCGTATTCACCCGACTTAGCACCATGTGACTTTTTTTTGTTCTCCCGACTGAAATTGCCGCTTCGTGGGCGTCATTTTGAGTCGCTGGATACGATCAAAGAGAATGCGACGAAGGAACTCAAGGCCATTCCGGATCAGGCCTTCCAGCGCTGTATGGATGACTGGGTTAAGCTCTGGCATCTTTGTAGCGCTTCAAATGGAAGCTATTTTGAAGGAGATAAAATAAATTTGGAAGAAAATTAACACAATTTTGTTTTATTGACTCATTTCCGGTACTTATTGATCATAGTGTATTATTTGAAATATATGGAGTCCTGTAGTTGAACTACAAAACTATGAAAATATTTAATGTTATAAATAAACTAAACTAAATATAATTTATTTTTATTTTATTTTAAGGAAGTTTACATAACAAAAAAGGGACAATTTTTGTTATTATTATTTTTATTATTTGAACGACGACTTGGACGATTTCCGTGATAAATAAATAATCACGATTTTGACAATTTTATTTAAAACTTTCTGGTGACATTGTTTGTAATTATCATTACACATCGTACACGAGTTTCTCTTATTCATTTCTAGTTTTTTTCTAGTTCGCGGGATTAAAATTATTTTGTTTATTTTTTTAAACGTATCAAATTTACAGTTATGTCAGACGGAAGTATTTTTGGGCATAAGGAGTTTGATAAGAAAATAAAATTACAACATTAAATTTAAAAAATGTACATTTCAAACGACTTTCCTAATAAATTATAAAAATTGATGTAGAACATATTATGATCTAAATCAAATAGTATTTTTGATTCGTACAGATGTCGTATTTAAATAATAAAATTATCTAACTACTATCATATTCTATCGTGTCGAAATGTTTTATGAAAGTGTTTGAAACACCTTCAGATTTAAGCTCACTTTTGAAAATAAATGAATAAAAGTATACATTTTTTTTAGGTGAACCTTAGATATGCTCATATTATTAAATATAATTATATTTTTTTTTAAATTCTGACCATTCATATGCTTAAATGTACAGTAATTAAAACCACTATTTTTTCCCTTTATTTAGATAGTATATTTAACAAATGTTGAAATAGATAAAAGAGAAAATATAAATGTGAATGGAAAAGCTTTAAATTTTAAATTTAACTTCAATCCAGTTGATGAAGCATGGAAAAGAAAAACATGTGAAAATTTGGGATTTACGTTTAAAGAACATAAAAAGTTTACTTTTGATTTATATACAAAAGACAGTATGTATGATTTATATAAAATATTGTCTGATATTATTTGTGGGGACAGACAATTTAATATAAAATTACAAAAAGAAATTTGTTTGGTAAGTTAATAATAATATCATTTAAAATTTAGTTATTATTAATCTATAAAATTGTTTTGATATATGTTAAAATTAGAGCATAAAATCTAATGATTACATCAAAAAAATTTTTTCTAATGAAGAATCCTTACATAATTATTTAAAATTCTTCGTAAGATTTGAAAATCGAGGTATGTTTGATTGGTATTACAGGGCTATTTCTTTATTATAAACTACTCAATTATTTGCATAATAAGAATAATTTCAAAAATGTTTTGTGATGTTTTTAATTTCACATAATTTTTAATTTAGCTGAGGTAATACTTATGTCCATATATAAATGGGAACATTTAAATTTAACTTATTTATTGAAGAATAACTTAATTATATAAAAGACCNTATGTCCATATATAAATGGGAACATTTAAATTTAACTTATTTATTGAAGAATAACTTAATTATATAAAAGACCGGACAATAAATAATAATAATACCTAAGAAAACCATAATTAATGTTCATTTAATCGTCCAAATAGCATTAATTTAATTTTCGATGCAAAAATATTCATGGATTTAATTAAACACCGTCACTTTAAGCTCGGTGTTACAAAACACGCACCTCGGATTTGTTGTCGCCGTTCTGCTTCGAGCAACTGTGTCAGACAAGCAAGAGCATTGTACGTCAGCCGTAATGACAGAAGAAGTGTCCAAAATTAGTGATAAATTTAAGTAACCACTAGGATCACCAGTGGTCATTAGATTTAAAATTTTAATTCAAAGGTTGTGACAATTAAAAGTAGGATGGGATAATAAAGTACCCGAAAATATAGAGCGAGAGTAGAAAGTCAGCCGTGTAAAACTTTATGGAATAAATACATTAGTAATAAAAATTCTCAGTTCTCACTAGACTAATTTTGATGATCAACACGCCAAACACGATTTTAATTTCGTTAAATTTTTAGTCACCAAATATTGAAAAAAACACTTAATTTCAGAAATGTAGACAAATATTTATTGTAGAATATGACAATTTCAACAGAACAAAAAACATTCAAAATTAAGGTCTCAACAAATAATAGGAGTTTCATTTTTTATTTAATTCATTTTTATCCTGAATTATATAGTAAAATTATATTAATAAAATGAAAACATTAAGTTATTATTTATATTTAATATGTAAAAAATATTTTTTTTGCAAAATTTCAATTTATAATGTTATTTTTAACCAATTTTTTTTGTCCTTTAAAGTTGATATTTAACTAAGTTTATAGTAAAAAAAAGTTTAACTTTTAACAATATTTTAGCTCATTTTATAAGTTGAAAATTAATATCATTGAAAGAAAATTTTATGAGAATTTAAAAAATTAGTTTAGATTGATTTGTGACCAGGATCTTATATAATTAACAACAAGTATTAACACTAAATTTATGAGAGTAGTTCAAAATTTTGTTAAAATCACTATTATTTAGCATTTTTACCGTAATAAATAATTTAAATAGAAGTTTTAGTAATCATTTCTTTGTGAATTTAGTGTTTAAATAGAGGAATAATTTATTAAATATTCCAAAATTATTTATTTTGATGTACTGCACATAATAAATTCTGATGTATAGTTGAATTTCATTTTAAACTAGATATTATTGGTTATATTTAAATAATCGAAAACTTAATTAATTTCTAAATATTTCTTAATTATTGTATTTTTTAAACACCAAGAGGTGGTAGAAATCATGATTGGCCATGATTTAATGAGAACTGTTCTAGTTGCACTTATAGTTTCGTCTGCTGATGCGATGTTGAATTCCATTTTAACTAAGATATTTTGGTTTTTTTGTATGTTAATACTTGTTTGTAACTAATTAAAAATAAAAACGATAGATCAAACTTAAAACTTAATGTGTACTGCAGATGCACATAAAATTTAGTGTTAAAAAGTTTTCATAGCAAGTTTTATGGTTTGTATGATAAATATAGTACATATAAAATGAATTTTAAGTTTCTATCTGTTGCAAATTTATTAAAGTTAGGACGAAAATTTTATTTTGTGATCGGCGAAATATTTATCACAATACCAATCATTGCTCCAATTTCTTGGGTTGTAAATACGCTTATCATTAGAGTAAATCCTAAGGTAGCACTGAACAAATATTCGGTGTACCATACATTGTCTTTTACATGCTGAAGAATGCAATAAATATGACAGATATAATGTCATTAAATGAAAGTATTATAACTATAAGATTTAATATAATTTATTATGGTTCATTAACTGGCATTAAGCACCAAATGTTCAAAAGAACAATGAACAATTTTATTGTATTAACACTCCAACACTATTGAATACTATGGCAAATAACAGTTTGATATTGGTAAATTCGCAACATAGCATATTAACTACTCAACCAGGTGCTTAAGGTATTGACGACATTTGAGGTACTCGCGTATTAGATGCAAAACCTATTTACTCAAGCATATTTTATAAATGTTAAAAACGCCTTTTTTATTTAAAATGATATAGATGTATAAATAAATAAATTCAAGTAATTGAACTATTTTATTTTGAATTAGAAGTAAAGCAGTGGAAAAATTATCCGTGATATAGCTCAAATTGTTGTAGGTTTAGTTTAAAGTGTCTTTTTGTAAATAATAATTAATATTATAAATAATTAAAAAATGAATTATAAGAAAATAACAAATTTGCTGATAAATTTTTATATTATTTTAGTTGATCCCGTGAACGGTAGTAAGTTTTAAAAAATTTCGATAATTATAACTAGTAGCATTTTTTAAAAATAATATTGTCTTTCAAATTTTTTAATTTACTATTGTTATGCGGTATGTCTTATGTGAAATATTAGATGTAGTTGAAGAATGTCCAATTTGCTTTAAAGAATCCTATATCCCTATGGTTTTGAATAATTGTCGCCACTCTTTCTGTTATTACTGTGTTGAAAATCTTTTACTAGATGAAAAAAATATATGTCCACTTTGTAGAGAAACGTTTAATTATTACTTGGATAAGGACAAAGGTAATGTAATAAATGAATTTGAAAATATTTCTTTAATAGCGTATGAATAATAAAAATATTAATAATTAGCAGGACCACATCTAAGGGGTAACAGTGTGCTGATACCCATTATTATTTTTTTTAAAACGATCGGCATTATTGTGGGCCGTCCTAGAACTGCCGTTAAACATTACTTCAGGGCGGTTTACGACGTCTTTACTATTCACATCAACACGTTGTGAATCAGCCCGAAATTTATAAAGAGATGATTCACAACGTGGTATGGCCTCCTCCGTTAAAATTCGAGGGTTGGTAAAAAACTCACAATATACAAAAAACACATAACACAAGGAGTCTGCCTTAGGATCTCGTGCGAACTGCGCGCTCAGCGCAGCCACCGCCTGAATTCAGCAGGAGAGGAGTGGATTTAGCAAAAGCGATTGCATAAATTGCAGTAAGAACGAATAACCTATAGTAAAAAAATAACCTGAATTGTAAAAAATGTTTAATGTGCATCACTTGTTTAAAAATTTAATTTAAATTTACATTTTTTCAATTACGACCCACTGTTAAAGCATTTATTTTAAGTTTTTTGTTATAAAAATTTAATTAAACTAATTTTATAAATTTAATTTCTTTTTTTCATTTATTTAATATTATTATGAAATAAATTTACTTATATTTTAAATACTATCACATTTTAAAAGACAGTTCATCGAGAAAAATAATACCACAAGTTTATCGACTAGCTATTAAAATACTAAACATACAATACGACTATATTTGCATTATCGGTGTAACTTTGGACGAAACTCATGAAATTAAAAATAAATATAATTTAAAAAAACTAAAAAACACGCTTTTAAAGCACATCGAACTAAAAAGTTAAAAATAATTTTTAAAATTAACTTAAAACAA